ATTTTTAACTTTCAGAAAATTATAACAACATAAAAGATATTGGAAAGTTTCATGTAAGCCCTTCAAAACCCTCATTCAATACAAATTTTGAATTCCCTAAAATTAGAGGATTTTTGGTGTTTTGAAGAAAAATAAACCCTCCAAAATCCTCCCAACCAAAATATTTCTATTATTTTCTTCCAATCCTTCCTTTTTTCAATGCCTCCCCCTCCATTTTTCTCCAAACTCTCAAACAAAGCCTAAGTGATGAATTCAATAAATTACTTGTAGAATCCATGGAGCCATATCATTTTAAAGAATTCATCGAATCTTTATCCAATATAAACTACTCTATCTATTAAAAAAGTTAGGGACCTATTCATAAATAAAGAATCATTTCAATTTTCAATATAATATTACTTAAGTTTTCCAAGCACTTAAAGTGTGGTTCCTCACAATCAGTTTGATTCTCACATTTTTCGGCATTATTTGTTTTTTCTTATCCATGTATGTGATAAGAAATTAAGACAAAATAATATAACAATACACAACAGATATAAAGTTCTCCAAACTTGTAGGAACCTTGAGGATCAACAAAAAATATAAGACGGTAAACCGAACAAATGAAGGCACAAAAACTCCGATATTTTTAACATGGAAAACTCCTCTCAATATGAGAATAAAAGCCCACGAGTTATACATATATAGGTGTTACGAACCTGCTCTCCAAATTTTAGCTCGATCCGACGGCTAATGAATTGGGTATCATTAATTTAGTGAAACTGGTTCAGAAAAATGAGAATGCGTTTTTATCCTCTTTTCTCTCTTTTGAATCCTTATTTTCTCTCTATTTTTCTCAACCCTAAATTGACACTCTTCACTTAAATAAGTGAGACAAATTGACTATTCATATTTAGGTCTATCTCCACATACGAAGAGAGCTCAAGCCAAACAACATGCACAACTCTTTTACAACTGATTCCTTGCTTTTGGCTTTTTTTTATTAATGGTTTTATAAATATGGAACACAAGTAAATTGTTCAATTTTCATGTCCTACCGAGTCTTAATTGGTTCTAACATTCTCACGACTCTATCATAAATTACATTAGACTAGAGAAAGATTTGACTACCTCGAATTTGCCTTTATTTGCGTTTATCTAACCTCTTATTAGTTGAACAAATATGATAATTTGACACCCATACGGTGTCTTTTACAATTTTTGATGTATGGTATATTTTTAAAATTTATAAAATTAGTATTATTAAAAAGTGGTTAAAGGATCGTGAGGGAAAGTTAAGGTGTCAATACGGTGTTACATATTTTGGTGTTCATATATCATCACTCTTAGTTGAAGGAACGTCATTTGATGTTAAACTGCTTGTTCTCGACCTAAAAAAAATTTACTTTCAAGTGTAAGCAAATGTCCCCATGCACTAAGTTATATGATTTGTAATGACATCAAAAGAGAAATAATTTGCACGCATCTCTTGAATTAAAGATCGTCATCTTTCCACATGCAACTAATAACACCCCCTTTGAACCTTTCACTATTATCAGTATATGAGGCTTTAGGAAAAATATCTTTAAGTAACTTTACTTGATGTCCAAGAAAGTGATTGTGACATATTTCTATTTTAGAGGTTAGTTATTGAACATGACGTTTTAACATCCTTTCTGACATTTTACCATAAAAACATTTATTTGTGTTATTCTCCACACATATGACTTCACCCTTTTCACACAAGCTTTCCACTTGCACTACAATCACTATTTTAGAAATGGAAAGATGTTGGAGCTTTTGTGAGACATCTTGATCTCCTCTTCACAGGAATTTCCTTTTCCAGAATTCAATAACCCCTTGATGGCATCTTCAAACTCTATCTTCTTCTGAGCAATACATATTGAATGTTGGGTTATTCACACATTGTAGTTATCTTTGTATTTATAATTCTTTATCAACATTTCATGATCCTTAATGAGGTTTACATTCATACTTATTCCCTTATGATTCCTGGAAATTTTCCTAGCTTCTAAGATTTCATCTAACTATTTTGAACCATTATTCACCATGCAAATAAATTTAGTCATGTTATGAAGTTTGGAGTTTAAGAGAGTCACTTCTTCTTCTTCCAGACTAGTTATGGTTGAGATAAGTTTTTCTTTTTCATGAAGGAGAGTATTTATGGTTTTCTTCTTATTCTCTTAAATAATACACACTTCCTCTAACATAGTGCACAAGAGCATGTATGTTGTAGTTAGCTCTTCATAGATCCATTCTTCATCACTAGACATACTTTCAAATTCAAATATTCCAGTGAAAGATATTACTAATTTACCTGTTTCACTTTCAGAATCAGATTCAGACAAAGTAATAAATAAACATATTCCCCTTTTCTGCCTCTTGAGAAAGGTAGGACACTCAGTTCTGATATGTCCAAAACTATCACATTCAAAGCATCTCATCCTTTGCATTTATCTTCTTCTTTGCCCATGCTCTTGGAACCAATTTTGAACCTGATGCTTTACACATTTGTCCTCCATTTTCTATCCAACTTCTTCAAAGATTTTCTGAACTTTCCGCCAACAAGAGCTACAACATCTGAAAAGTTTTCTTAAGTATCCTACTCACTTTGCTCTTCTTTATCTTGAGTATTTGATACAAAGGCAACACCTTTGTTCTTCTTTTCTAATTTTACATTTTTTGATACTACAAATGTTTTAAGAGAACCAATGAATTCATCAACCTTCAAGGTGCTTAAGTCTTGAGTTTCTTCAATGGTTGTTACCTTAATGTCAAACTTCTGAGACAAAGATCTGAGGATCTATCTAACCAGTTTTTCTTCTGACATCTTTTCTCCTAAAGAAAAATAACTTTGGCGATATCGCATGGTCTAATGTTGAAATAAGAAATAGATTCATCTTCCATCATTCTCATATTTTCAAACTCACTTCTGAGGAGCTGTAGCCTTGACATCCTAACCTTGATGCGCCTTCATGTGCAGTCTTGAGAAACTCTTAAACTTTTTTAGCTTCAGTAAAATTGTTGATCAACCAGAACATGTTCTTGTCAACACCATTGAATATAACATTTAAAGCTTTTTCGTTTCCAAGAGCTTTTCCATCTTCATTTTTGGACGAATCAACTTCAGGTTTCAAGTTTGTTGTCCCATCTTCAGAAGTAACCACCGGGTGTTCTAACCTTTGATCACAATCTTCTAAGTTTTGATGTCTATGGATTTGAGAAATACAACCATTCTAACTTTCCAATAATCATAATTGGTATCATCCAAAATTGGTGGTCTACTGACAAACCCTCTATCTTTAGTGTTGTTCATTTGAACAAAATAATATCTTTTCTGGAGCTCATCCAAACAGAATAGGGTGCCTGCTCTGATGCTAATTGACACTCTATTACTCAGGGGACAAATGTTGGACCAGATGTCTGAGACACCTTACTCAACTTGTTAGACCAGATATATGACATCAACAAATAAATTTAAAGACAAAGAAATAAATAACATAAGAGAATTTCTAACCTAGTTTGGTGCAAACCACACCTATATATGGAGGGATTTCAACCAAGAAAAGAGATTCACTCTTCAATAGAATTAGTACAAAGTGTCTTTGATGAACAAACCTTTTGTTCAATTCCCCTTTTCTTAATTGTACCCTAGTGTCTTTTTATTTAAGACTCCTCCTAAATATGATAACTCCCTCTCACTTTTTCTCAATCACTAATCCCAAGTGTGAATGTTAACAAACACAAAGATCGATGTATAATACAACTCAACTAAATAAACAAACTTTTATGCCAAGTTACTGAAGCAATATAGTGGTGTACAAGAAGCACAAATAAGGACTCAATCTAAAACCTAACTCACTCAAAAGCTAGATGAGTGATTTGAGTCAAGTAATAAGTCTCTTTAAATAACAATCTATGATGGGCGTTTTCTCCTTGGATATTTGCAAAGATTTCGTCCAGATAAGTTGGAAAATCTATTACGATTTGTTTCTTCAAAACAACTCTAACCAAAGATTTGATTTGATTTGAATTCTAATTTAAATCACATGGATTTAAATTTAACCTAATTGACAAATCAACCAAATCATATTGCTTAAATATAACAACAATATTTGTTGCACAAAAGTAGAAGATTGTGCTCCAAATCATTGACAAATTCGGGCTTCCACCTCCAATCTTGTCCTGCAGACATGAGACAGATGCTCTACACATGCTGGGACATCTGTTCCCATATATGTTCTTCTGCAATAATTATTGTTTTGCATAATATAATCAATTTAAAAGGAACAACAATCTTCCCTTTTAGCAAATTTTGGCAAAATAACATTCTTCAAAAATATATAAGATGTGCAACAATTAAATTGAACAAAACACATTACACACTGAATAGACCATACTCAACACGCATGGCAAACCGTGATCGGATATTCTACATATATGAACCTTCTTAACCATGGTTGAATTTGTAGACGGTTGGATATTCTACAAATATGAACTTCTTAACAATAGTTGAATTTGTAATCATTTTTTTCTTTCAATTGTTCCTCCGAACTTTCTGAGAAATAAAATCGTAATAAAAGAGTAACAATGATAATACCGCGTGTACGAAACACGGTGAAGATGACATGTTGCAAATGTTTTGTTTTTTTCCCCAAAACCTATGTTAAACCACGCAACATGTGAGCCCTATAAGTTTACCACATTTCCCTATCTCTTGTTCTATTTTTTGAATTCTTTCATGGCTTCTAGCAAGTCACTTCTTTGGTATTTGGAACTTATTTGAATGGAGTGTTGAAAAATTTACCCCCATATCTCAAAACTTATCCGTTTATCCTTATAAATCATAAAAATAAAAAATGATAATTTTTATTTTCTTAGTATCTAATATTATATTGACCGTATTGTCCCTACTCCCTTTTCCATTTCTTACTTTCTTTATACATATTTTTACTTCTCTCTAGTTTCTCTGTTAACATTTTGAAAGGAAGAAGAAGAAAATGTCTACACTGATTGTACCTCCAATTCCTCCTTCTCCTAGAGATGATGCTATTCAACTTTACCGTGCTTTCAAAGGTAATTCTCTCTCTCCTAAAGATGTTGCATGCATGCTTTAATAATGCCTTATGAATATTGATTGCGATCTTGTATGATTCAACAGGATTTGGGTGTGATACAAGTGCTGTGATCAACATTCTTGCTCATCGAGATGCCACTCAGCGTGCCTGCATTCAACAAGAATACAAAACCACATTTTCTGAGGAGCTTTCCAAGCGCTTAGTTTCTGAGCTCACCGGAAAGTTAGAGGTACTAAATTACTATTGTTCCGCTTGAGAATCAGAAATGATTGAGATGCATGACCCTTGCCGGACGTGATCTTACACTGTTTCGGTTTTTCAGACTGCACTTCTGCTTTGGATGCATGACCCTGCCGGGCGCGATGCAGAAATCATCAGGAAGTCTCTTGTTGTGAACAGAAACCTCGAAGCTGCTACCGAAGTAATATGTTCGCGAAGTCCATCCCAGTTACAATATCTAAAACAGCTGTACCATTCAAAGTTTGGTGTTTATCTCGAGCATGAAATCGAAGCAAACACTTCTGGAGATCTTCAAAAGGTTAGCTTTCTAGTACTGTCACTGAGTATCAGAGACGCCAAGTTTGTTGACAAATTTAACTTTTTCCGTGTGTCTACTTTTCGTCTTTCTTGTTAAGATCTTGCTTGCATATATAAGCACCCCTCGCCATGAAGGACCTGAGGTTAATAGAGAAATCGCTCAGAAGGATGCAAAGGCTCTCTTCCAAGCGGGTGAAAAGAAACTTGGAACTGATGAAATGACTTTTGTTAAAATATTCAGTGAACGAAGTGCTGCACATTTGGTTGCAGTCAATTCGTATTATCATGACATGTATGGTAACTCATTGAAGAAGGTATCTTGATAACCTTAATCTTATCAACACTTCAACTACATTTATCTTGAGGTATTAAAATTTAAACTGAATTCACATTAGGTAGTAAAGAATGAAACATCTGGGAATTTCGGTCTCGCACTTTTGACAATAATGGAATGTGCTAAAAATCCAGCAAAGTATTTTGCAAAGGTATTCTAATCTTCACTTCAACTTTAGGACAAATACGTCTTTTATGATCAATAACGATGTGTTTGAGTTGTTTCTACTTTTCTGACGCTGACACATCTAGTTACATTCAATCACTTATTGTCGTGTGAGAGTTGTGTTTGGATCTGTGCTGCATAGATTGGAAATATTAGAGAATTTTTTAAATGTATTAATTTTCTTTTATACAAAAATTGTTTATTCATGCTTGCCACTATGCAGGTGTTGCATAAGGCAATGAAAGGTATGGGGACTAATGATGACACACTCATAAGAGTTATTGTATCAAGGACTGAGATCGATATGCAATATATTAAAGCTGAATATGCTAAGAAATACAAGAAGACATTGAATGATGCAATTCACTCTGAAACATCGGGCAATTACAGGGTTTTTCTTGTCGCACTTTTGGGTCCCAATCATTAGTCAATTGATGTTTAATTAAGTTTTTTTGTTTTGGATATTTTCAAACTTTGATGTTCAAATGTTTTTAAATTTGGTAGTTTAATTTGCTTTGTATGCATTGTTATGGACATGCATTTCAGTTTGAGTATGAGTAGTTTGTATTGTCAGCACGACTCATAGAATGAAGTATTGTTATTTCTTGCTATCAATAATGTTTTAAAAACCTTCAAAAATCGAAGCATTCAAACCTTTGTATTATAGTTTAATCGGTTGAACTACGGTTCTTAATGGTTTTGACAGACTAAAAATCGTCATGGTTGAACAAATTCTTGCCTACTAATAGATTCTCAATTCAACATGTTGAATAGATTGGTGTGATTAAAAAATTATATGAACACAATCAATCCAACATAATTGGCCCCATTTAATTTATTTGATTGAAGACTTTTAACTTTTTTGACACATTGTCTTTATTATTGATCCTTCTCATAACTCTTAGAATGCTTCAATAATGTCCTATGCTTATTATGTCCTCCTCAACCTTATGTGATGAATTCAATAAGTTGTTTGTCGAGTCCACGGAGCCATGTCATTTTAAAGTATTCATTGAGTCTTTATTCAATATAAACTAGTACTTGTTAAAAAATTAGTGACCTATTTATAAACAGAGTTATTTCAATTTTCAATACATCTTTAATAATTTATTTTTGGTTTAATTGTAATTTTGTTCTCCTATTTAGCTTTATTCTTGATTTTTATTCCATATTATAAAAATCATTATTTTAGTCAATTTTTTAAACTTTCTATTGAATTTTGACCCCCCTTCAAATCTGAGTGAATTTTTGTATGAAAAATCCTCAAAATAATTGTCTCACATGATTGAACAAAATAATTGAAAATAATAGAGAAATTCATTTCAATTTATATGTTCTAAATATTATACTTCATTTTCTAAATATATATTATATATAAAAATCATTTGAAAAATTAATAAATGAATTTGTATAGCCTACTGATAAGGGCATTAGTATTTGAAGTGGAAGGACAAATATTTGAGTCTAATGTAAGCATGGGAACCAAAGTTGTAATTAAACTTTTTTTATATAATTTTACCCTCTAATTAATAGCAACGAGACAAAATATCATGTCTTATATAAATTAGCCTCGATCGATTATTTACTTAGTCGTGTGATGTATGAGTTTTCTGGACTTAATGCATTACGTTATTGATTATATTTCAAATATAAGAAAATGTCCCCCAATGCATTACGTTATTGATTATATTTCAAGTGTAAGAAAATGCCCCCCAATACATTACATTATTGATTATATTTGAGTTATGACATAATGCAACCCTAATAATTATTATTATTGGTGAACAATGTTGCAACACAAAATACAAAATTAGTTGTTACAACATCTTCTTAAACTCGTTAATAGGAGAAATGTTAGTCAAATTTATCTAGGGTCTTGATATTATAACTTTCTCAATAATGTTAATTTCTATGAGAGATAAAGAAACCGTACCTGAATCTATGATGTCGATTTCTTCTTAGCATTATTGGTTAAAATTGTCTCTTTTTTCTTCTTTGATGTATTGATAAGCGTCAAAACTATGCAAAATACATAAGTATTTATTGACTTATTTTTAAAGCAATCAATGAAAAAATCCCTAATTTATCATGAAAACATGATAAAACACCTCTATGAACTTTTTAACAGTGTAGCTACTACGTACAAGTAAAAAGTACCAAGAAAGCACCAAAAACAGAGAAAATGAACCATTCAAGCACCAAAGCTCAATTAGCCAAGAACGAGGCATCACTAATGTAAGGATAGAGTGCAACCTAAAGGGGGAGGGGAGAAGTGAATTATGGTTCTTTTTATTTTTCCGGAAAGTTGTGATGAACAATTGAACAATTATGTAGGAAAAATAAAGTGCAATAAAGTAAAAGACACAAGAGATTTATCCTAGTCACCCTTATCAATCAATAGTACATCTAGTCCTTTCACACCTCAAATGATTTTCTACTATGTTAGATCTTTGTACAAGCCTCACATTAAAATAGGAACCTTTTGCAACAATCACAACAATTTGTGATGTTCACACCAAATAACAACGTTGAACAAAAATTATAACCTTATATAAAATTTTGAGTAATATTTGACTTGGCTTGAATTCTAAGATAATTGATGACCTCTCGGCAAGTATATCAATAACGTCGAAGTAATAATAAAAATATCGTCTCCACGAGGATAGTAATTTAACAAGAAAATTATGTGCGATTTTAAGTGATAAAAAGGGAGTTTTCGTTAAAAAATAGGTTCTAAAACGAGAATTTAAAATGATGAAATTCAAGATGAGAAAGAGATTAGACCTTTATTATCGAATCTCTTTATTTTTACTTATTAATGAACTATACATTTATTGAGTAACAATTAATTTATCATCTCATTGCGAATTAACAAAATAACTACACCATATTTCTTGGTGTGCAGCTCACTAATTTATATGATAATTTCCTAATTAGGTCAATTCAAAGTTAAATTAGGCGTTATATGTGTGTTAATTCAAAAGTAACAACTTCTAATTACCTATCCCTAGTTAATTACAAAGTTGAATAAATTTCTTAGATCAGATAAATAGACTAACCATAAAAATTCCCTAGGTATCTAGATCGATTCATACGCCCGTAAGCGACAAAAAACCATTAAATACAAGAACAATTTAAATAAGATAATAATAAGAAAAGCACTCTATAAATCTCAAACAGACATATGATCCAATAGAGTAATAATAAGGTTCATCTCAAAAAGACCTAATCTTGAGAAACTTAGCCACTCATTGATAAATTAACAAATACCATGAGTTAATAAGTTTTCATCATCAAAATCTATGGAAGAATTGCTCTCTAATGACTCTAATATACTCCAAAATCGCCCCTTGAATATCCATAGTCGTCACTTTCTCTCTAAAATTCAGAACCTTCAAATATTTTGCAAAAAGACCTTTAAATAGAAATTTTGTGTGTCAGAAAACACATTCCATCGCGCCACGATACAACAGTATTGCACCATGATGCAAGCCACATCGTGCCGCAATAGGATGCATCGTGGGTACGATAATTCCAATGGTTGAAAGGTCTCATTTTTATCTTTATTAAACTCTGCCTAGATATGAGTTACACAACTTTAGATATGATCCAGTTACTGGGCAAACATGATGATGTAAATTGTGCTAAAAAAATACTCATTTCTTCACTTTTTCTTCAAAATTCTTCTAAGTCCCATTTCTTTCACTCTTTGTAGTTCTTTCTCTATTCTTCATACTTTGACATGAATTTTTCTCATTATTCTTTTAATTTCATTTGAATTTTCTCATAAAAATCACATTATAACGACTGTCATCACTACCCTAAACTTACTTGTTGATTGTCCTTAAGTAACATGTATGCACACTGAATATTTAATCATAATTAAAATGCTTACCCTTACCAATGAATGCCACCTTTTTCCGATCAACACTTTGTTTCTCTACTTTGATCCAATCTACTCGAAAAAGTTTTTCTGACATACAAGTGCTCAACATGTATCTCATCTCACAATTATGAACTCAATTTGATAGGGTAATCACTCAATCAACATACAAAAGCATTTAACAATGATTTTGAAAATTTGCTAATCAAATCAATCAAAGTCATATTTAAACACACATTTTGAGGTCTTTTATAGGTTGTAACGTGGCTTATGTTAGGGTAGGATAATTTAGGATAGTAGGCTTAAACCTTTGGAGTTAGGTACCTAGTTTTTCCCGATGTTATCAAACTTCTTCCATATCACTCTTTTGAAATTCACTTGATAATAGAGAATTGCATATTGTTGGTCATATTTTTCACTATTTTCTTTTGAAGAAGCTATTTTAACTTATTATTTTTCTCTCTCTTTATTTCTTTTTGACCAATTTATTTAGTACCCCAACCTCAAACTTATTCATTGCCAACTTTCAAGAGCAACCTCAAACTTATTCTTTTTTATCAAACAAGTAAAACAATTATTTCTACCTAACTCCAAAGAGAGTGGAAAGAATTTATCTTTCAAGTGAAATGGATATATAATAAGGCTATGTTATCGAAAGAATGGTTTAGGGTCAAAGTGGTTAAACAAAAAGGATCAAAATTTTTACAAACAACTACCTTAGTGTGTATTTATCATACCAATAGACTCAAAATTAGAAACAGTGCAAATTCCAAAAAATGTATAATGTATGGACACTCTCGTAAAAAGGAAAAGTAAACAACATAAATATTTAGATCAAACCTTACTAGCTAAGGTATCTGGAGATTGAGTACAAGTAGTCAGTTTCCCTCTATTGGAATAAGTTTGGTTCTACATTTATAATCCTTAAGTTTTGATGATAATAAAGTATAGAGAATAATTTTGTACACTAACTGTTTCATTAAGTGTGCAGAATCTTAAGATAACAAAGCAGACTCTGGACTTTAGACAAAGCGTGTAAGAACAAGATTTGGTTATGCATCTGACCTTGAGTTTTGATGATAACATTACATGGGTTATTAGATAAAAATTTAGTATCCTAATGGTTTGTTCAGTTTTTAGCCTTTTCTACCAGGTTCTAACTTTGAAGTATTGACGTGTGATGTCATCTGATTCTAGAATCAACATACTAAAGAATACAAGTTTGTGTTTTATACCTTAGAACGTTTCTAAAACAACGGTTATGATAAAACGTTAGTTTTAAAGCTTATGACAGTATCTATGTTTGAAGAGCTTCTGATATGTTCTCAAGCCCTAAATATTCCAAGATCTCTTGCCTAAGTTCTAAATATTCTAAAGGCAAGATTCTATTGAACGAGTTTTGAAGATTCTAAATACCAACGGTTCTCTAGACCAACTTCTGAAGACTCTGAAGACAAGGTTTTTTTTAATGAAGTTCTGAAGACTCTGAAGAAAAGTTTGAGAATGCTCTGAAGACCAAGTGCTAAATACTCTGAAGACAAGGT